GTAGAGTGTTTCAAAGGAATAAAAAGGAAGAGAGAATCCTCATTTTTAGCTAGGGGAACTAAAGTTCACAAACACTAGAAATTACTCAGAATGCCCTCTGATCCTTATTTATTCTTGTTGCTTTTTTTCCCCTCTTAGGCTTGACATTCCAAATGTTTCATATTTTAAAGAAAAATTGTTACAAGATGGTTTAGACAGTTCTGATAAAAGCTGCAGACAAATCTGTCAATGGCTGCTTCTGCTAAAAAAAATTACCAAACCTAGAAAAACAGTTTAGTAATTTAAATCATATCTATCTTACACAGACCAAAATTGACTAATTCCTTCTGTTAGAAAAGTAAAAATGTTGGGAAAGAGGGTACACACTACAGAAATCAGGGAAAGTAATTCGGTCCAGTGGTTGCTATTGTATTTTCAGCTCTAGAACAACAGAACTGGATTTCAAACCGACAATAAGGCACTGACCAGTCTCTCTCAGATCCAAGTGTCTGCCTCCCCACAAAAGTTTGGATGATGACCAGAAAGAAGTTCAGTTGTACCCACTGAAGAAGTTCAGCATTCACTTATACAGATTCCTTCAATAACAACTCTCCCAAACACCAAATCTATTTACTTTAGACACAAGCCATTTTTAGGGAAAGGCAAAGGAAAAAAAGAAAGGGTCGGTATTTAAATAACAACGCTTTTAAAAGTTGACCTCATAGCAAGAATAAACAACTCATTGGTGTGATTTAGTAGCAGGTCTAGTGTTTTGAAGCTTAGAGCAGGCAGTATATTAAAATGGCTGTGAAAAGATTAGGACTTCTAATGCTTGTGAATGAAAATACCAGAGGAGGAGAATGCAGAAAAATGCCACTGCAGGAGCCAGAAAAACATCACCACCCAATTTTCCTTTTATCAAAAGGCCCACAGTGCCTTAGCAACACAAAGCTACGTTTACTTCTGTTGGAAGGGAAAGCATCTTCCAGTTGACAACCTGCCTTCATTTCTCATTAACAGTGGAAGAGTATGTTCTTCTAAAAATTTAATTGCAAATAAGCGCACTTAAAATGTGGCAAGGAAACTAGCATTAAACTACAAAGTCAATCAACAAAAATAAACTGATGCAACTGTGTTGCATTCTTTTGTGTTTCCTTGATAGTTTGTTTCTTATATGTTTTCATTTTCAGTAGTAAATGTTCTGCTAGCAGCAACAATGTTGCTGCAAATTCTTCTATAACACATCTGAGTTCTGAGAGGGAAAGTTAACAAATAGTCAATTCCCCAAAAGGGCCACATGAGAGAGTGCAGAATTGAGGAAGTGAAGATCGCCCTGCCACGATTTTCAGCATAGTGAGCTTTTTCCTTTTCAGAACTTACAGAAGTGGTATCTGCTTGTTAGAATCTTGGAAAAGTTCCTTGTAGGAGAGGTTAAAAGTTGGGTATTAAAACCAGGTGGTACATACTTAACTCAAATGCACATTGAATCAGAGTTACTTGGGCAATGTTTCAACAGCATTTTCCACAAGAAATGGTTAGTAAAATGAAGCACATGCCTAGATTAACTCAAATTGTACAGATCCCATTTTGTAAAATCAATTGTGACTAACATTAGCTCTTTAAGAACACTGAAATGGAAGGCATTTGATTAAATGTAGCAGAAGTTATAAAGAAATAGCATTAAGTTAGAAAGCTAACATTAAGTTAGCATTTAGTACTTCAATTTACGATAGCCAGAGATGTATTAGAAGTGCACTACATTTAGTATCACCACAACTAATTCTCTAAACTGGGTGGATTCTCTGTTGGTGTTTAAACTAAAAATCTTATAGGAAGTGAACTGTGAAAAAAGTGGCTTTGTAGTATACCAGTCAGCGGATGATCAACATTTACATATAACCCAGCCAGGAAGATCTACTCTGAACTATTTTTGTCCACATTCCTGTAATAATGGATCTTTTGTTCTACAAGACATCTCAAGAGACCTCTTTCAACTAAAGATATAAATACAACAAAATAAAGTTATGAACGTTAGCTGCAAAATTTCAACAGCTACTGAAAGTAAAAACTAAAGAAAAACATTGCAAGATAAACCAAAGACAAACACAATCAACTGGCTGACATTCTGGATAGTGCATCCTTACCTATCTGGTTGCTGTATTGTTTTCCCATTACTACTTTAAACGTTTTGTTTAACTACTACTTTTTACAGAGAGGTGGATTACTCTGCTCTTCATAGTTGATTTGAGTTGTCATTCAATTTAAGCTTTCTGTGACAGGTTTCCTCTCAGGAGAGAAAAAAAATCATTTTTCCCTAATAATCTTCCAATTCAAAAGATGTAAAGTCTTAATTCCAGTAATCCTTCAGATTGTCACAAACACTAATACGGGATAAAACAGAACTAGATATTGAACTTCTGGTACTAAGTATCTAAAATTTTTTTCATTAATCATTGTTTCTCTTATTACTCTTGCTAAACATTTTAAGAGGCTTCTTTTTTCAACAGTTCTCCCACGAAAAATGAGATATTTGAGGCTAGAAAAATAAAGATCAAAATGATATATGATGTCTAAATAGGCAGAGAGCAGCTACAGGCAACAGTTCATCTAATGATGACTATTGACAAGGGCTCAGCACTGCTTTCCCCATCTTACTCTATGTACCATAAAAACAGAAGAAAAGATCTGGATAAATTCAAAGAACAAAAACAACACCTTCTGACCCGACTCTGTCTTTAGCAAAGCTGTGTGATGTCAGGCTGTGGCTCCCAGTTTCATGTTTCCTCTCACTAACATAAGAATAGATATAGTTAACCTGCAATGCAGCTAAATTAGCTTATTAAAAAAAATCCAAAATCCACAGGGTTACCATACACAATGCTTAAAAAAAGTACACACATTTTGTTAAAAACACTTTTGAGAAGAAACACACACTAAGTAATTTTAAAAATGCAAAACAAAAACGAAAGCTGTGCAAAATCTATTACAGTAATACTGTTGGCTATGAAGATGTTGTCTCTGCTATACACCCAACATGGGTTAAGTGATGTTTGAACTGAAAAGCGATTCGTCACTCGCAACCTCCTTTCAGGATATACTACTTCAGGATCAGAACTGATTATTCACTCTCCACAGAAAAAGATATACAAAGTGATACCAAATTGTGTAAGTGTGACACAGAAGTGTGCATCTACTATATCCTCTTTATACTAAAAACAGATTTCACAGAGTAACATTTGGAAACGCCCCAACTTTCCACCTCTCTCCTCCCCAAGAATGGTTCTCTCTTTATGCTAATTTGTTCTCTCAATAGGGACAGCAACCTTCCTCCTCTGCCTCATCAGTCACAAACTAATGATTTCTGTTAAGAAAATGCAATATTGATTCTGGGAACTTTAATGTGTGAAACTCTATCCCCTTACCCTGATTTAATAAATGAAGTGTACATTACCAAACAAATTACCACCTCTGGAATTTTTTTTTTTTTTTTTTTTATTTTAAGATTATCAAGAGAACTCATTACCTCAGACTACTGGATAGTTTTAGAAAGTCTAGGGGTCCACCTGTAAGCTTATTTACTGCTTTTGAATTACAATCTCAGTGGAATATCTACCATTTTTTCAAGAAGTTTTCCTGGACACTATTGGAATTTCTTCCATATTTATAAAGATCAATGTTCCGAATGTTAAATAGGGCTTTGTGTACAAGAGACTATAATTAAGTCACTCAAAAGAACCCAAAATAAGGCATGAATGAAAATTTAATGCATAGAACACAGCAAATTTGTCCTCCAGTTTGGGATTTTAAATTTTTTGAGGAAGTACGTTTAGTGACAAAGAATTACTCATATATAGGAAAAAGGTTTTGATTATCTAGTCCACCCTATTTTTCTTTCCTAGATTAAACTTCTCTAGGAATTGCAAATATAGTTCCAGCTCCTAAATCTTGAACAATACAGATAATTAAAACCATTTTTTTCAAAATGAAAATATGGAAACTCTGACATTGTGTCTCTCAAACACTGTAAAAAAGAGGTCTTATAAAACTGATACTCTGAAGCATTTTACCCTGAGAGAGGGTCTTCTGCTTTTCCCTCCCTTTAACTGTACCTAGGGGAACATCCTTCCAGAGAAGTAAAACATCTCTGTGAGCTATATCCAGTGTTTGTTGTGTAGTGGAACCATCACATGGAGGAAAGTAACCAGTGTAGAAACACAATGGGAAGGAAACACTCAGTTCTGACCTGATGACACCTCACAGCTCCCACTTAAAAAACCCAAAACAGACTATTCTTCAACCAGGAACTAGACAAGCATGTATCACGATCCTGCTTACAAGAAAAAGTGTGCTGTACACACACTCAGCCTTTGTGCCACTGGCAGGAAGTAAGGTTCCTATACAGTACTAAGGTTACCAAGTTTAGTACTTAAAACAAACAAACAAAACAAAACAAAAAAAAAATGTTGCATTTGTTACAGCTCTCATAGTCTAGGTCTGAGAAAATTAATGATGCTCCAGATCAAGTGAGCCTGAGAGAAGCTCCAATTGAAGGCTGCTAGTATAGTCTAAACACCATCCCTAGAATGTGTAAGTACCGCTATATCCTTAGTCTAAACCCAGCTGTTGATGCAACCCTTAAGAAATATGGTTATACCCTTTTTAAAGAATACTAAAAAGGTGGTTTCCCCCCCCCCCCAAAATTAGTATAAAGTTAAAAGAAATGCAAATTAGCTACAACCTATTTAACCCAAGCACAGCACCGCCATAAGTTTCACACACACTATTTGGTGTTGCATGTTGGTTTTCCTTTCACTCTTTAAGGCAGTGGTTTCCACAGGTCAGTTCAGAAAATATTAAGAAGCATGGTCCATGGCAGTTCATGTTGCAACTCCATTTTTCACTCAAGGGAATCCATTCCCCAAACTGTTAGTACTCCAGCGTTTAGAGACTGAGCCTTTAGGTTCTGTTCTGGCTCAGAAATAAATGTATAGCTGGCACGCTTTCTTCAGGAGGTCATGCTCAAATTATGAGAAACAGTTCATCAAATTGTTCTCTTTCATGTTTTGAATTAGCTTTTTACTCAAAAGACATCAAGTTGGCAGGAACCTAAAACAAAAACACAAGTAACAGCTGATTTTTATTTTGAGAATTGGCTTTCCATATTTCATCTTTTCAGAACCCACCCCTTGCAAGTTTAAAATGTTCAGTTTACCTCTCCCCTCTACAAAAAAAAGGGTAAATACAAGCAGTCAAGCAGCACTAGAGTAACAACAACTATAGGAAACATATATACAGAGAAGGCAGACATTAGATTGCAGTATGGTTTATAAAATGTGTTATAACATTTTGGCTCTGGTCTATATCTACAGGTGAATTATGACATAATGTAGTTTGGCCACAATTGAGAGTTTAACATTTATTAAAGTTAACAAGCCTATTGAAGACAGATGCAAGGCCTTCACAGCTGAAGGTCCCAGTTTATGGAATTCCAATGAACAGAGACTAGGATAAGGCCAAGTCTTGCCATGTTCATGGAATATGCAAATCTCATATCTTTGTGAAGGCATTCCCCAAATAATGGAGAGGAAGAAGTGCACAGCAGTGTTCTTCATCATTCTTTAATGGCTAGAAAACGGGAAGTGCTGACAACACTGCTCCTATAAAGAAGAGGAAATGCTAATATACTCCAGGAGCAGATCTAGAACAATCAGCTTGTTGTATGTGAGGAAGTCATATTTTGCCAGCACTTTTAGAGTGCTGTCATTCCTCATCTGCACTGTGGTTGAGGAATAAATCTTATTCCCCAAGAGATCCAGCTGCTTAATGTCCTTACCCTTTGATATGTATCTAGAAGCTTCAGCGTAGTGAGATCTCACATCAGCTGGAGAGTCAATCTGAGAGCCCAAGGTCAGACAAGTAAAAATATTCAAAACCTTTTTCAATGACCTGATATAGAGGGATAGTTTGTCTATTTCAGAGTCGGAAGAATGAATCTGGGGATAACCAAAGACTCCTTGTCAGTTTCATGGTACCCTTGCTTAAAAGGGATCTCCACAAATCTGAGGTACTTGGTCTACAGAATAATGAAGACCCTGTGAGCTTTCTTGGGACCAGACTAAGTCCTAGGTTGAAGCTCTCTGCAAGGGGTCACAATAAGTCCGGGAAGGGAAATCAGTTCACGAAGAGATCATAGATTCATCTGCAAAAGGTGAGATTCGAAGTGTTTCAAGGTCACTAGTCATCTCAAACTCATCCTCTTCCATTACTGACCCCTCAAAATGAGTGTGTTTACACAGCAAAAAGTTAGGACAGGCCTCCCACCACTGACAGTGCCAAACTTTAATACTGCACTTGGTTTACTGGACCTGAAAAGCCTACTTCCTAAGTAAGTGTTTGAGGTGGCCATCCTGATATTTATACGGGTGACTAGAGAAGACAAGGTAGATTGAACACCTGTCAGGATTGTGACCTTTTCCTAGGCACCAGTAGCACTGAATAAGAGTGTCTATAACAGACATAACTGCATTATATGTAGCTTATGGCTCAAAGCTAAGCTCTCATCAGTGTGCCCCCCAGCTTGGGTAGTCAGATTTGTACTAGCTCAACTTGAGCTACCACACTAAAAATAGCAGCACGGGCAGAGGCATGGGCTAGCCACCCAAGCTCACACTCAGGTGCTTCTTTATGCTTTTTAGCAATATAAGCAACACAAAATTTGATTAAAGGTTATATTGGGTAGCCAATACCTAACAAAAATGACACTAGGGCTGTCAAGCGATTAAAAAAAGTAATCGCGATTAATCGTACGATTAATCACACAGCTAAACAATAATAGAATACCATTTATTTAAATATTTTTGGATGTATTCTACATTTTCAAATATATTGGTTTCAATTACAACAAAATTTTAGAGTAAGCAAGTCCACTCAGTGTGAGTCTGCAAGTGCACTCAGTTCTACTGCTCAGTTCTACTGCTGCCCGTTTCGTTTACAATGTTACCTGAAAGTGAGCACAAGCATTCTCATGGCACTGTTGTAGCTAGGGTCGCAAGGTATTTATGTGCCAGATGTGCTAAAGGTTCATATGTCCCTTCATGCTTCAACCACCATTCCAGAGGACATGCGTCCATGCTGATGACTGGTTCTGCTCAACAACAATTCAAAGCAGTACGGACCGATGCATGTTCATTTTCATTATCTGAGTCAGATACCACCAGCAGAATGTTGATTTTCTTTTTTGGTGGTTCTGTAGTTTCCGCATCAGAGTGTTGCTCTTTTAAGACTTCTGAAAGCATGCTTCACACCTCGTCTCCGATTTTGGAAGGCACTTCAGATTCTTAAACCTTGGGTCAAGTGCTGTAGCTATCTTTAGAAATCTCACATTGGTGCCTTCTTTGCATTTTGTCAAATCTGCAGTGAAAGTGTTCTTAAAATGAACAACATGTGCTGGGTCGTCATTTGAGACTGCTATAACATGAAATATATGGTAGAATACGGGTAAAACAGAGCAGGGGCATACAATTCTTCCCCAAGGAGTTCAGTCACAAATTTAATGAACACATTTTTTTTTTTTTAAGAAGCATCATCAGCATGGAAGCATGTCCTCTGGAATGGTGGCCAAAGAACGAAGGGGCATACAAATGTTTAGCATATCTGGGATACAAATACCTTGCAATGCTGGCTACAAAAGTGCCATGCAAATTCCTGTTCTCACTTTTTGGTGACATTGTAAATAAGAGGGCAGCATTATCTCCCATAAATGTAAACAAACTTGTTTGTCTAAGTGATTGGCTGAACAAGAAGTAGGACTGAGTATACACTTTGATTTCAATTACAACACAGAATACAATATATATGAAAATGTAGAAAAACATCCAAAATATTTAATAAATTTCAATTGGTATTCTATTGTTTAACAGTGCGATTAAAACTGCAATTAATTGTGATTAATTTTTTTTAGTTAAACTGCGTGAGTTAACTGTGATTAATTGACAGCCCTAAATGACACTACACAGAATTTTGCAATACTGATTCTAAACACTACTACAGCTTACAATAGTGATACTACCAGTAAGGTGTTCTGAATTATTACTTTATAATAGCCTAGTATGTTGCTTTTAAAAAAATAAAGATATGTAAGGGTATATTATGCATAAAACCCTGTCAACATGTTACAAGTATTAAGATATCCCTTCTTCCTCCAAATTGCCCAGTTGCTTCATTTGATCCTTATAAAGGCTTAAATCTTTGTTTGTGAACACAATCTTTATGTTACCTCCAAGTTGTGTGTATTGGTAGGAGTATCTTGTTTTGCATAAAAACTGACCGACTAGTACTCCATTTTCTTTCACAACTAGTTACCAATGCCAAGTTCCGATCAGCAGCTCTCAATTCCTTTTCACAGTATTGTTCTCACCTGTTGTCTGTTGCTTTGGCAGGCAGCGCTCAGATGTTTGAACCACAGCATTGCATTCATTCTGTTACCAGCTTGAAACTTGTATGAATTTCCTAAAATGACAGAGGTAGGAAAAAAATTGATTAAAAAAATCAGACAAGAACAAATATAGTACTGTACTTCAATTCTACTGAAGTTCAAATAAATAAATAAATAAAACAATAAATTAAACATTATCAAAGAGTGAAAAGACAGAATTCTATTCATATAACTTTAGAACTTGGGTGGTGTGGTTGCAATTTAAACAACATCATTTGACTTCATACAACAGATGTGCTATATTCTGCCAAAAGTTCACAGCCTCCAAACCAATTATTAAGATCAGTGTCAATAAAAAACAAAATAAAACAAAAACAAAAATCCCCCCAAGACCCTGATCCCACCAAATTATTTAGAATGTTGTGACCAAAGTACTTTTTGTCCATGGCACCTGTGACAGATGGGGCAATTTCCTGCGATATCCTGGACAAACCTTACTGAATTAAGTTTAAGTATCTTAGGTGTCCATTACATTAAAAATGCAAATGTTTATATATTATTATGAGGTTGTATATAACATCTCTGGGGGGAAGAGACACGACTAATGTAAACCTGGGAGGCATTATGAGCTTCAAAGACTATTTGAAACAATGAACTTTTAAAGTTAAGTGGGTTTCCCAAGAAACCTCTAGGGACAAGTATATGCAAATGTAACTCCTCTGATTATGCAAAAACCCAGCCTTTTGAAGCTACTAACTGAGAAGAGACCCATTGTCCACTAATGATCTATTTCCAGTTCAAAGATACTGGCTGTATAAAGGGGCGACTAAACTTTTCATGAGTGTGATTGTTCTGAGCTAACAGCTGTTACGAACTTGTGACCATAGAAAAACCCGTTGGTGAGGTTTGTAGAACTGTTCATCTGCCAGAGCCCTTCATGGTATTGGGGTGATTGCTGGTAAGCTTATTAGCATGTGTGAACATTCTTTTATTGTTTTTAATATGTACTCTGTAATGCTTTTACCTTAAGAATAAATGTGCTTTCTCAGAAGGAGCTATGTGGTAACTTAAAGGACAGTTACCTGTTCCGTAACTGGCGTTCTTCGAGATGTGTTGCTCAGGTGTATTCCACTATAGGTGTGCGTGCTCGCCACGTGCACCGGTACCGGAAGTTTTTCCCTTAGCAGTATCCGTAGTGGGGGAGCACCGCTGCGACCCCTGGAGTGGTGCCTGTATATCGCGCCATAAAGGGGGCTGCGTGCTCCCCCCACCCTCAGTTTCTTCTTGCCAGACAACTCCGACAGAGGGGAAGGAGGGCGGGACGTGGAATACACCTGAGCAACACATCTCGAAGAATGCCAGTTACGGAACAGGTAACTGTCCTTTCTTCTTCGAGCGATTGTTCATGTGTATTCCACTAGAGATGACTCCAAGCTATCCCTGAGGGAGGCGGGTAGGAGTTTAAGTGTAAAGATTTAAGGGTTACTCGGGCGGAGCACCGCTCTACCAAACCCGGCGTCATCCCTCGTTTGGGAGACGATCGCATAGGGCGATGAAAAAGTGTGGACAGAGGACCACGTAGCAGCCCTACAGATGTCCTGAATAGGGACATGAGCCACATAGGCCACTGACGAGGCCTGGGCTCTCGTCGAATGAGCCTTCACTATAGGAGGCGGGGGGACCCCTGCCAGGTCGTAGCAGGTGCGAATGCACGAAGTGATCCAGCGGGAGATCCGCTGGGTGGAGACCGGTCGCCCCCTCATGCGTTCGGCTGAAGCAATAAAAAGCTGGGGGGGACCTCCTAAATGGCCGGGTTCTGTCTATGTAAAAGGCCAGTGCTCTGCGCACGTCTAACATGTGCAGGTGGCGTTTCTCATTGGAGGAATGGGGCTTAGGACAGAGGATCGAGAGGAAAATATCCTGATCCATGTGGAAAGCCGAGACTACCTTCAGCAAAAAGGCGGGGTGAGGGCGGATCTGAACCTTGTCCTTATGAAAGACCGTATATGCGGTTCAGAGGTCAGGGCCCTGAGCTCGGAGACCCGGCGGGCTGAGGTGATAGCCACTAAGAACGCCACCTTCCACGACAGGTGGGACCACGAACACGTGGCTAATGGCTCAAAAGGAGGCCCTGTGAGGCGGGAAAGTACCAGGTTTAGGTCCCAGAGCGGGACTAGGGGTCTGGCGTAAGGGAATGCCCGATCTAATCCTTTCAGAAACCGGGCCGTCATGTGATGTGAAAACACAGACAGGCCCTGCACCGGGGGATAGAAAGCCGAAATGGCTGCCAGGTGCACCCTGATGGAGGAGGGCGCCAGGCCTTGGGTCCGAAGGGATAGGAGGTAATCGAGGACAAGCTGGATAGACGCGGAAGAGGGAGAAGAACCTCTATCCCTTGCCCACCTAGAGAACCTATACCACTTAGCCAGGTAGGTTTGCCGCGTGGAGGGTTTCCTACTCTCCAGCAGGACCCTTCTCACATCCTCAGAACACCTCCCCTCCTCCTCATTTAACCACGAAGCAGCCATGCTATCAGATGGAGCGTAGCTAGGTTGGGATGGAGGAGGCGACCTTCCTCCTGGGAGAGGAGGTCCAGACATAGCGGCAGTCTGCAAGGAGGGGCCGCTAAGAGTTGCAGCAGGGACCCGTACCAATGCTGACGGGCCCAATCGGGGCTATGAGGATAATCCTTGCCCTGTCTGACTTCACCTTCTGTAGGATCCTGTCTATTAAGGGGAAGGGCGGGAAGGCATACAACAGGGGCCCCGACCATGGGAGCAGGAACGCATCCGATAGCGCCCCGTCGCCCTCTCCCGCTCTGGAGCAGAATCAAGGACACTGTCGATTCTGGGCGGTGGCGAACAGGTCTACCTGGGGAGCACCCACTGTAGGAAGATCCACCTGGCCACCTCCTTGTGCAGGGACTACTCATGCTGTTGGGAGAATACCCTGCTCAGGCGGTCCGCGAGTGTGCTGCTCTTGCCGGGCAGGTAAAAAGCCCGCAGGAGCATATTGTGAGCTATACAGAACTCCCACAGGAGCTGGGCTTCGAGGCATAAGGCCCGGGAACGCGTGCCCCCCTGTTTGTTGACGTAATACATGGTGGTCGTGTTGTCCATGAGGACTCTGACCACCCTCCCGTGTATGTGCTGGCGAAATGCCACGCACGCCAGGCGTATGGGCCTGAGCTCCCTGACATTTATGTCCAGGGTTAGTTCCTCTGGTGACCACATACCCTGGGTCCTGAAATCCCCCACGTGGGCTCCCCAGCCCAGGTCTGAGGCGTCCGACACTAGATCTAGTGAGGGAGGGGGCTCTCGGAAGGGAATACCCTGAAGCATGTTGCTCGGGAGGGACCACCATTGGAGGTCTGCCACCACCCTGGGGGGCACTGTGACAACCTTCTCCAGGCCATCTCTGGCCTGGGAATAGCGGGAGGCCAGCCAGAGCTGAAGGGGCCGCATCCAAAGTCTGGCATGTCTCACCACATAGGTGCAAGCTGCCATGTGGCCTAGGATTTGGAGGCACATCCGTGCCGTGGTTACCGGAAAGGCCATGACCGAGGCAATGAGAGCTTTGAGCGTCTCGAATCTGTCCCGTGGGAGGGAGGCCATGGCTATCCGGGAATCTAATGGGTGATGTTGGCAACTCCCTTATGGAAAGGGAGTGCCACATGCCCCGGTACCTAGGAGGTGAGGACATTGAAGAGAGTATCGGAGGGCTCCTCCATCTCCTCGGCCCGGAGCTCGAGGTTGGCTGCCACCCTCCGAAGTAGCTCTTGATGCGCTTTAAAAGTCCTCTTGAGAAGAGGGATGCGGTAACGCAACTGAATCGCCCTGCGCCGAAGAGGTGGACAGTGCGGTGCCTTCGGCGGCCAACGGCATTGTGGGCTCCACATCCGGATTCGGTGCCGGAGTCGGTGCTGGGGGTTTGGCACCCATGGCCTGATCCCGGTGCCGGGGAGGCGACGCGGGTTGGCCCTGAGAGGCTCCCACCACGGAGCGAGGTCCCGGCTGCGCAGGTGCCTGAGGCCACGGTGCCCACTGGCACCATTGTCCCTGCCAGGGCACGGCCTGGAGCAGAGGCGCATCGGGCGCCGGCAGGGCAGGTTGGTCCTGTGGTGCAGCACTGGGAGAGACGGCTGCGCGCCGACGCCAAGGTCCGGGAGGAGCGCACGGTGCTGTAAGAATGGTTGGAGCGGTCTCTATCATGACGGCTCCTGCCCCGAGACTTCAACCTGGAGAAGGTCGAGAGATATATGTCCCTGGACTCCTTGTGGCACCTGTGGCCACAGTGCCTCGGTGCCGGGGACTCTCGGGACTCACCGCGAGCATGGCCCCTGTGACGGCGGGTGCTTGAGTACGAGCGTCAGTGCCGACGGCGTCGTGACCTGTTCCTCTCGGACTCACTGGAATTGGAACGGCGTTGCCTCTTGCCACCTCCTCGACGACGATTGAGACTGGAGGAGTGGGATCCGCTCATCGAAGAGCCCGGATGCGGAGTCGACGTGTGTCGTGGGGCTCTGCTCGGCACCTCAACCCGGGAAGGTGCCTCGACCTCCAACACCTCCGGGGAGGGCTGATGGGCACCCAAAGGCAGCTTCCCACAGGACCGGGGGCCCGACTGAGGAGGTGCTCCCGGCACCGGAAGCGTTAAGATGTCACGCGCGGCCTGAGCTGCCTCTGGCGTCGAAGGCATGCGTACCGCCGGCGAGGCTCGTGCGGACGGGACTGGACTACTCCGCTCAGCCCGAGTCGGAGGTCTCTGTCCCGGTGGGGATCACGGGCTGCCCAACTCGGGTCCGGCCTTACCCTTGTTCTTCTGTCGGCGCCACTGAGACTTCCCTTGCTTCTTAGCTGGGGAGTGGTGCCGGGACACTGACGGCGCCTCGCTGCGCACCGAGGACGCGGTACCGGGTGCCGATTCGGAACGGCGCACCGGAGGCGCTTCGCCACGTGCTGAAGACGCGGAGCCCGGCGCGGTGTCAGCTCGACGCGCCGGTGCTGGGGCCAATGCCAACTCCATTAAGAGAGCTCGGAGTCGGATCTCACGCTCCTTTTTCGTCCGAGGCTTG